GAGGCCTGTAGTAAAGAGTAAAGCCTGAGGTAGATTACCCCTCCCATCGAGCACGTTAGTTTCCTGCTTACCGCGTAAGCAACCCGCTCAACAATATAGTCTGCCTGGCAACTGATGATGTTAGCCAATCAGCTTGCCTTGCTCACTTTAACATGATTGGACACTGTATCCGTATATATACTGGTGCCACCCCTGGGGGGGAAGAAGAAGCCCGGAAGTAGAAGCCCAGAAGGAGCCGCGGGGAGCGGACCAGAGGAGGCTTCGGCTGGGAGCGATCCCAGGGCAGGCTGTACGGAGAAGAAAAATAAAAAGAAAAGGTTGTCCACTGCCAGACTTTGTCTTGTGTCCTTCCTGCCGGCCGGGAGCGGACATCGACAACTAATCTCTTCTCCAGTGCTATACTTTTGTCATTTCAGGAAGGTTAAAATGGAATTAGGTAGCATGCATCCTTTTGAGATTGGTTTCCTTTTCATTCAGCCCAGCTGCCTTGAGTTCCTCCAGGCTTCATGGGCACCAGTGGACTCTTTGTTTCTATGGCAAAGTGGCACTCCCCAATAGACCAGTTTATTCATCCATTCATCCACTGACCAATGTCTGCCCTGCTTCCGGTCTTGGACTCTTCTGAATTCATGTGTAGGTTTTTGTGTGAGCATGAGTTCTTTCATTTCTCTAAGATAAATGTTCAGAAGTACAGTTTCCAGGTTGCACGGTGAAGAGACATGATTTTGGGAGAAGCTCTAGTGTGCTCTTCCAAGATGGCCGTGGGCTGTTTGCTATTCCCTGTAACCTTGTGTGAGTGAGCAGTTCCTTGGCATCCTTTTCAGTGTTTGGTGTCATGATTTTTTATTTTAGACACTGATAGGTGGATAGTAATAGCTCATTGTGGTTTTAATTTGCATTTCCCTAATAGCTAATGGGGCTGAGAATCCTTTTCATGTGCTAGTTTGTGTGCTGTATATCCCCTTTGTGAAATCACTCTTTGTGTCTCTCAGCCATTTTCTTTCTTTCTTTCTTTTTTTAGTACCAGGGATTGAACTCACAACCTTGCACTTGCCAGGTAGGCACTTGTGCCAATGAGCTAAATCCCCAGCGCCCTCTCAGCCATTTTCTAGATGATTGTTTTCTAACAGCAGGGCTTTGAGAGTTCTATATGTGTTCTCTATAAATCCTTTGTTGAGTGTATGATTTGTAAATACTTCCAGCCTAGAGCTTGTCTTCTTATCTTTTCAATGGAGTCTTTCTCTTTTTTTTTTTTTTTTTTCTTTTTTTTAGGGGCGGGGGGGATAGGCTGCTGTTGAACTTGTTTCTGTAGCCTAGGGTGGCCTCAAACTCATGGAAATCTTCCTGTCTCAGCCTTTCAAGTGCCAAGATTATAGGCATGCACAACCATGACTGGCCCTTTTCATAATACAAACATTTTTAATTTTGATGAAATCTAATTTAACAATTTTTCCAGTTCTTGCTTTTCATGTCAAGCCTAAGAATTGTTCATCTAGTTTTAGGTCTCAAATATTTTCTCCTTTGCTTTTTCTTAAGAATGTTTACAGTTATTTGCTTTTTTTCACTTAGATCCAGGATCGATTCCGATTTAATTTTGTATAAGGTGTGAAGTTGAGCTTGTGATTTTCTTTCTTTTCTTTCTTTGAGGGGAAAATGTCCAGCTTTACCAATATCATGCGTTATGGAAAAACTATTCTTCTTCCAGTAGTTTGTTTATGTTTCTTTATGCAAAATCAAGTGGATATGTCGGTGTCGCTCCCGGCCTGCAGGAAGAACACGCGACAGATTCTGACGGTGTGCAATCTTGCCTTTATTTATCTCCGCGTGGGCCCCGCGAGGCCTCCGCTCTGTCACCAGCCCTTTCTCGCCGGTGGACTTTCTCTATCCCTCTCTGTGCTTCTTCCTCGTGGCGGGAGAGGCATTTACTTTTATAGGGCAACAGTAGCCAATCAGTTCAAAGCGCGCGATGCGGGCTGACTGGCTAACATCAGCTGTTGCTAGGCAGACTATCTTACAGAGCGGGTTGTTTAAGTCGCCAGCGCAATCAGGGGGCAGGAAGCAGGCGCCAACTTGGCTCACTCGATGGGAGGGGCAATCTAGCTCAGGCTCCGCTCCTACCCACAGGCCCTACGTCCGCCAAGTAAGGCGACCGGTGTCGGCCGCGGCTCCCAACATGGATATCTATGTCTTCCACAGTCTTCATTCTGTTCCCTTGACTCTAGCTTTTCTCTCTTGCCTTACACACAGTCTTGATCACTTCATGTATATTACTCTTACTTTATTCTTTGTTTTTAAAAATGGCTTTAGTTATTACAGGGTACTTCAAATTTTAGAATGTATTTTTCTGTGTCTAAGGAGTAATTTTTCTTGGAATTTAGAATTACAGTAAACCTACAGGTTTACTGATGTGGGAAAATGGGCATCTTCACATTATCTAGTCTTCCAATTCATGAGCCTGACACATTTCCACATTTTTTAGGTCTTTGATATCTTTCATTATGTAATTCTCGGAATCCAGACACTGTATATTTTGTTAGGTTTGTACTTAAGTATTTTAGTTTCAGGGAGTGTCACTTAAAAGTGACACTGTTTTAAATTTGTTTCTACATTTGTGCATATACACCTGCCCTTGCCTGTGGCCACCTGTTCTCAGGCGAAAGATACTGCCTTACAAATATAAGTAACTAGGAAAATCATTTGTTTTGGGATGGCAATTTTCCAAAGAAAACTTAAAGCCTGAATTTCTGGCAGTTTTCTCTGGTCAGGGTTAGAGTAGCTCTGCACCATGAGTGCCTGTAACATGTACCTGAGGTTCTTTGTGAGTGTGTGTTGGGAAAAGAGAATAGTAGCTATTTCCTCTATGTGTCTGGAATTAAAAAACTGAACCCATCTGGGATCTTTGAGAATCTGCATTTCTAACAAGCTTTCAGCAGTGCTGGCTACTCAGCCCAGGAATCGCATTTTAAGCTGTACAGATCTAGTCTAAGACTCATGCCACAAAAAACTAAAAACCAAACCGAAACATCAGGGCTGTTGGATACTGAGGAAAAAACAAAAGGCTGAAGGCCGTCCTTAGATCTGGACCGTGCTGGCTACCTAGCATCGTCCTCCTAGACACTGGCTCTTGGGTCTGCAGTGGACACAGGGTAACGTGAGAGCAGGGCAGTTGTATATGTGAACAACTTTACCTGTCAGTGTTTTAGTGCATGAGGATGGGCCCACAATGAAGTGAGCCGATTTTCTATCCCTAGAGTCCTTCTAGGAAAGACAGGACAATCATTTAGTTCAATGATTTAGAAATTCTCCTTCCTAAAGATAAATGACCAAGTTTTTAAAAAATGTAGCATATGCCACAATGTAGTACAGATGAATTCCTTCCAGTTTGAAGATCTAGTGCTGTAGTCATGGAAACCTTCAGCTAGGCAGATGTTCTTCTGTGTGCTTGTGGTCTGGCCTCATAGTTGCATGAGGAGCATCTTCCTGGGTCTGGGACCGTGAGGTGCTCAGTTTAGATGCTCTTTGCCTAGGTGTCAATTACTCTTCTCAGATTTCATTGAGACTTAAGACATCCTCGATCTCTTGCACCTGGCAGTATTTGGTCACCATCTTACACCCACCTTATACTTTGACTTTCCTCGTTTTTCTTATGGAAAACAGATCGAACGTCATGCTCAAAAACTAGCAAATATAAAATTAAATCTTTATCTCCATTTCTGAGACTGATCTTCGAGTAAAAACAAAACTATTGGGACTTAGATCTCCATGAGTGGTCTTAAACTGAGATCAGTGACTTTGACGACACTGGCTCTTCATACATTTCTGTCCTTATCAGCATGGAGCCGGTCATAAGGTAGTTTTAAAATATATTACATTTGTCTTAAAATTGGCCTTCTCTGGATGAGTTAGGCTGATTTGGGATACAATATCTGCTATTTTTCTGGAGCAGTGCAACCCAAATTGGCTTCTAGCTCCTTTGGTCCTATCCAATGTGTGGAGTTGAAATGTAAATGTAATGAAATGTAAATGTACTTAAAATTCGTTTTTATTAGTAAATGCTAGAGAAATATAAATATATATTGAATATATTTATTGCCAGGAGTTGGTACACAATCCATCAGTTCTTTTTACTTCCTCTTTCCCTCTTCCCATTGTTCTATCCTTGTGTCTCCTTTTCATTTGTATAAGTCTACCTTCCTCATTCCTATTACTTATTTTGCTGTTTAAATTATTTAAACTTTGAGTTTCTCATCTGAAAGAAACCATGCAATATTTAACCTTCTGGGCCTGATTTATTTCACATAGCATTATAGTCTCAAGCTGCATCCAGTTTTGAGATCTAGGCATTTTTAAAATAAATAATAACATTTCTATTGAGTTCGAAGAAATGAATATCCTAAACATCGGGGCAGGGAAATTAAACTTGGATCAATAAGTCTGTGTTAACCTTATTGGTATGTATGAACAGTGGTTTTGCTCTGAGACCCTCAATGCATCCTTTATAATTTTGATCATAAAATAAATGAGTCTGACAGGAGGACATTTTTTTTTTCCAACAGGAACTTCTTTATTTAACTTGGAAGAATTTATAGAACATAGCAAGACAATAGATAAAAATGTAAAAGAGATCTTTGGCCATTAACTTATGATACATTTTCTGCATTTGATTTTCAAGATTCCAAGAGTGTAAGATGCAAGAACAGGATAGAAACAGGAATAATGTGATGCACAATGAAAGAAGCACAGGCACTGAAGTTGTGTGAAAGAACTTCAGGAAAACCTGGAAATTACTGATTATGATTCCACTTTCTATTTGTTAAACATGTAGCTTAGTTCTTGGTGCTCATGCCAATATCAATATCTATCAGTATTTAGAAATGATGGATGTGTGATGCAACAGAGAGAAGAGGATCAAATCTATAGCTCTGAGTGGCCTCTAGGTCTTCAACAGGGAGTGAGGAGGGATGGCCAAAGACTCACCAGTGTGCAAGGGCATCAAAGTGAATGGCACCACAGGTCAGGCGCCCCCCTAGCAACAGCACTGCTTCTGGCAGCAGCACTTCTGCTGGCAGCAGCCCTTCCCGCAGCCACAGCCACAGGAGCCACAGCCACAGGAGCCGCAGCCACAGGAGTTGCAGCAGGTGCGGCGGCAGCAGACGACCACGGGGGTGCTGCAGCAGCCCCCACAGCAGCCAGCGCAGCAGGGGCAGCAGCCAGAGCAGCAGCCCACCCGGTAGCATCTGCAGGTGGTGCAGCTGTTGCAGCCACCGCAGCCGCCACAGCCACCGCAGCTGCCACAGCCACCGCAGCTGCCACAGCCACCGCAGCCGCCACAACCTCCACAGCCACAGCAACCCATAGTGTTAGTAAAGAGAACACAGGTGAGGGGAGGAGAGAGGACTCAGCAGAGCAGAGAGAGTCTGATGCCGCCTCCTTCCGGGGCCCTTAAATACCCCGCTGCCTTGGTTCACATGGTAGTCACTTCCTCCTTGTTGTTTTGGCTGTGTCTCTGGCAGCCAGGTATTTCCTGTCAGCTGCTTCCTCATGGGATTTCATTTGATTGCTAGATAAGAGAAACTCACTTCTGCTTCAGCAATGGCAGCAGACCTGGCTGAAATGCTTAGGAGGACACTGCGCTTCCAGTGCGTCTCTGCCTGAAAGGACAATGCCCTCCCTCAGTGGTCATCAACCTCAGAGACTGCACTGCCTCGTCCTTCACAGGTCAGAGCGCCTCCGGGGGAAAGGTGACAAACCTGAGTTCTCATCCTTTATTTTATGTTTATTCATTTTCTGTACATTATCCTCAATAACCACTTAAAAAAGTGATTTTGGTGCATACATATTATGCATATTGTCTTAATTTGGGAAATTCATATTAACATATTAGAGGTAACAGTTTCTGGAAGAGAAAAAGTCTTGAAAATCAATATTTAACAATAAAGAAAGTCTCACTTATCAAATAGAAAACAAAAAATAAACCATAGGGGTCGCTAGGCCGCATAAGCAAGTGCGAGGTCATAAGTTAGATCCCCAATAACAAAACAAACAAAAATAAACCAAAAAATAAACCATTCACAATGGCAAACAATACACGTTTGTAAATCTAAAAACATACATATTTATGGAGAAAATTATTAAATTGTATTGAGGAACATAAGAGATAAATGGTGAAATATACTAGACTTATTCCATTGATTGTGGATGGGAGGTCTCAATGTCTAAAAGGTGTCAGTTCTTCCTAAAGTTATTTATACATTCATTGCTGGGCATAATGGTGCACACCTGTGGTCCCAGCATGTGAGAGGCTGAGGCAGGGGTATCGCCATGAATTTGCAACCAGCCTAGGCTACATCGTGAGTTTGGTGCCAGCCTGAACTGCGCAGCGAGACTGTCTTAAAAAACAAAACAAAAAGTCATTGTAATACATCCATTCTAATTCTATTTAAGATTCTAGGAAAATTATAAATTTGTCTTAAAAAAAAAACTAAACGATTGCCCCTAAAATACCAATTCTTAAAAAGCATTTTTTGCATATTTAAGTCTTTAATCATTCTGAGCTAATTTTTGTAACCGGTGAGACCAGTGGGCTCTAGTTTCATTCTTCTGCATGTGGGTGTCTAAGAGATTATCTCTGAAAGCTGAACCACACACTTTGCTATGTATCATCCTAGGCCTGCTGGGCTGATTGCCCTTTCCCACGTTCTTGCTTTCAGACCTAGCCCCTAGGTTTATGTGTCACCTTTCTCATTCCTGTCATCTACAGAGAACCTTTGGACAATGCCTCCTGCATATATGGCTGAGAAAGAAAGGAGAGACAAAAATATACTCACCAAAGGGGGGTGGGGACCAACAGAAGGTTCCCTATTTGAAGGAAGAAATGTCATCCTGGAAGTTTTAAAGCCATTAGGAAGGGCCCAGCCAGCCGACTGGAGTTCAGCTGCAGGGGTGAGGTGAAGCCAGGCTGCTAAGTGCATTTAACGCAGATCCCTAAGTGTGAACTGTTGAGTAGGAACAAAATGCAGAGCATCAGAAAACAGTAGGACAGGGTAGCTCCCTTCCTTTCTCTCTTCTCCTTCCTCTTTTGTGCCATGCTTGGAGTGGACCCAAACCTTGTGGCAGGCCAGTGCTTTGCCTTGAGCTGCATTCGCAGCCTCTGGTAGCTTTCAAAATACACAAACACCAACATTTCAAAAATAGCATTAAACTTCCGTGATACCACACACTCACAATGGAGCAGAAATTGGGATTGGGTGACATGCAAGTCTATAATAAGGAGCATTTTAAAGTAACTCATTGCATCGGGGACCAACATTTTCCCAATAACTGGGAACTTTTTCTTTTAATTGGTACCAGGGATCAAACTCACGATCACACGCTTGCAGGTGCTTATGCCATTGAGCTAAATCCCCGATTCTTAACTGGGAATTCTTAGAAACTTGTAGTGTTTAAGAATGCTGGAGTTCCTGAGGTCGGTGTGATACCCCATCTTCCTACTCCATGTCCATGGGAGGCTGAACTTTCTTCATGCACTCCAACCAAAAGAGCATCAGATCCCACACCTGTCACAGAAGCAGTCACAGATGTGAGACTCTGGCCATTTTAACCAGCCAGACCTGCAAGAAATTTGCAGAATCATTAAACGGTGCCACTGTATTCACTGATTTGTGTTGTTGCTGTTTTAAAAAATATATTTATGTGGGTATGTAGCAGGCTTATCTTAAGATCATTGATAACTTTTTAATAGTTTGTTAATTTCCAATGCAGTAAATATCTACAGATATAAGTCATATCATGAGAGCTATTGGGGTCTTCAATCAAGTTTTTTCAAATGTATGTTAGCAATATGGCCGAGTGAAGAGGCAGGAGGTTGCATGTGAGAAGATGGATCTGTGTACTGTGGGCCTCCCCAGAGAGGGGATTCTGATAGTTCCCTCATGAGGTCACCGTGGTCAGGGTTCCTCTCCTGGGAAAGGAAACCAACAGCTGCCAGCGGAGAGGCAGGGACCTCTTTGGACCCTGGCACCCAGACCAGTACTGTAAGCAGTGAATGTTGGAAGCCACTTCCTTAGGTTAGGTCTTCTGTTGCTGAATGCTCTTTTGTATCAGGTATCAGGAGGTATCAGGAGACGTGCACAATTGGTCTGGGAAATGTAGTGAGCAAAGACAATGCCAACAGGCAGATGCATTTCGCTGGCTCACTTATGCTCAAGCTGGCTATCTTTGGAAATACGGAAAGTCCTGTGCTAAATACCTTCAGGGGATGGGGCTGAGGTAAGTTTAGTGACACTGAAAATCAGTGATTGAGTGCGACAAAGCTGTGTTAGTAGGTAAATAAACAGGAGGAGTCTGATGTTTTCCTACAGAAATGGAAACACATAATAAGGAAGTGGTCATGTGCCCTCCTGCTTCCTCTCCTGAGAACTGGTACATAAGGGCCCCCAGCAGGAGGCAGCGTCAGACTCTTCTGCTCTCCTGAGTCCTCTCTCCTCCCTCATCTGCGTCCTCTCTACCAACACCATGGGTTGCTGTGGCTGTGGAGGTTGTGGCGGCTGTGGCGGCTGTGGCGGCTGTGGCGGCTGTGGTGGCTGTGGTGGCTGTGGTGGCTGCGGTGGCTGCGGTGGCTGTGGCAGTTGCTGTGGCAGCTGCTGTGGTTGCTGTGGCTGCTGCTGCAGACCTGTGGTTGTCTGCTGCCGCCGCACCTGCTGCCGCCGCACCTGCTGTCAATCCTGTGGCTGCGGCTCCTGTGGCTGTGGCTGTGGCTGTGGCTGTGGCTGTGGGAAAGGCTGCTGCCAGCAGAAGTGCTGTTGCCAGAAGAAGTGCTGCTGCTAGGCAGCTCCGTCTCTGCCTCTGCCCAGGGACCGTGGGTGCACTCAGGCCCTTCTGCTGGTAAGATGTTGCCTCCCCCTCTTCTCAGCACTCTTGTCCTGCCCTATCGCCAGCTCATCCCCTCATTCTTCAGATCCTCATGCTTTATCCTCCTGAGCTCTTCCTTTTAAAGTATCTAATCTTTTATAAATATTCAGGCCTGGATTGGGTCATTTGGGTGTCTACTACCTCTGTGCAGTCTTTGCTATTGCTTTTGCCTGTATTTGTTTTTATCAGTTTCCTAATAAAATAATGTGATGCACAATAAAAATCTCTTCACGAGTCATCTTTACCACTTGCTTTGTCAGCTACTCTGTGCCCTGCTGTATGAATCAAATTCTGCTTGTCACTCTCTGCAGTCTGCTATTGCTGGCCTGGGAGCAGACCCTGCATCCACAGACATTTATCAGAGAGGACATAGCCTCCAAAATGACATTCTACCTGAAGGCCTTTTCCGTATCTCCTCCAAATTTTCTATGGTGGGGGATGAGGGTGGTGGGAATTGGTGGCGGTGGTTGTCTTTCAGTTTCTTGAAGCTTATCTAGTGAATGAAAAATAGAACCAAAACGGAGGAAGAATGCATATGGCCTTTGTCGAGTGGCACCCAGAGGTTTCTGAAGTGGCTGAAAACCTGCTGCTGGGGTAGGGAGCTTGGGTGGTTCTGCGTGGCTGTCACCCCACTGGGGTTTGTGGCCCGCCATGGCTCAGTCTGGTTTCTTTGCTAGTGTCATGCGGTAACCTCACAGGAGTGAAGCCCTGCTGTCTCTCAGCTGCTCAGGAGGCAGGAAGTAGAACCTGCTGGTCCGTGCCCCAGTTTCTAACCCAACTCCAGCAGCGGAGCAGCAGAGAAGCTGGGGTGGGTGACGAGTCCCTTTGGATCCTCATCTAGGTTCAGGAATCTTCTGTCCCTCTGGATGACCCCAGGAGGTGAGTGGCATCAGATGCAATTCACAGGTGAAGAGACCAAGGCTGAGCAGTCAAGAAGCTCACTCAAAGAATCACAACTGCTAAGTCCTGATTAAATCCCCGATTACCTCAAACTCTTTCCATACCCTACTGAGCCTGTTTCCAACATTCCCTTTCTTATTTCCCCTTTCCATATTCCCACGCACACACGGCCCCAAAGCCCCTCCCTGTCATGTGGTCCTCTGACCCAGCATCCCGGTGAAGGGCTGTGCTCAGGCTACTCGCTCTCATGACCTCCGGCAGTGTCTTGGCTGTGTGTGGCATGCTCTGTGCTTACTAGGATACAGTTAGTTGTCAGCTCTTGGGTTGTGAATGCTTCTGATGTCTAACTGGAGTGAAGAGTAGACCCTTGACAGACATCTCCAAGAGGCGTTCTGGAAGTTGCTGTATTCATTTTGGATGCCAGAGTAGACTGAACACAGACCTTCCTGAGATGCAGAGACTTGAGCTGCTTTTTCAAGTCTTACTTAAGTCTTGTTTTCTAATAATGCCCCTTGAATCTATGCACGGCTATTTAGAAGTGGCAAGACTTTAGCTTATTCCATATTCCTTTTAGCCCTCTCCTTTC